GGGGGTTAGACACAGGCTGTTCTCAGAGCCGTGCTATAAATGAGCGGGGGTGGGATTTCAGGCGAAGCCAAGAAGCTGCTGGCAAAGATCCTGCCCAGCGCGCCGTCTCTCCGGCTTTTCTATATTAATCGGAGGAGGGCAGAGCTGGAAGGGAACCGGCCCTCCGTGGGGAACAAGGGGGGGAGGCCTGCTGATTCTTTTTGCGAAGGGAACCGGCCTCTCCCCTTCGCGGCTGGCTCCCTTGGGCTTTCTGCTGGGAGACCCCGAGAAGGCCTCTCTGCCCCTCCCGAAACAGAGCAGGTTGGGGCCATGAACTGCGGTCAAGTCAGCACCCATCTATAGCGATCCTAAAAGGGGTTTCCAAGTCATTTGCCGGTTCCATGCTCCCAGTGAGCTTCCATGGCTGAGTGGGGATTCGAACCCAGGCCTCCTGAGTCCATTGCTCTACTCACTGCACCACACTGGGCATCCTAAACACAGCAGAAGACCTCTTTAATTGACACACACACCCTACTCTGCATGCAAGGTATCTGGTTCATCCCAGACACATTTATTCTTATTTCTTTATTCCATGCATTATCTTTCTGTCTTGCCTTTTCTCCAAGTTGCTGAAAGCAGTGTCTTTGGCTCTCTTGTTCCCTACTTTTCTTTCACAACAACCCTGTGAAGTAGATCAGGCTCAAGAGAGTATGCCCAGTTCAAGGCCACCTGGTGGGTTTTCATGGCCGCCTAGAGTAGTCCACCGCGACTTTATTCTTATTTCTTTATTCCATGCATTATCTTTCTGTCTTGCCTTTTCTCCAAGTTGCTGAAAGCAGTGTCTTTGGCTCTCTTGTTCCCTACTTTTCTTTCACAACAACCCTGTGAAGTAGATCAGGCTCAAGAGAGTATGCCCAGTTCAAGGCCACCTGGTGGGTTTTCATGGCCGCCTAGAGTAGTCCACCGCGACGCGGCTCTGAGCTGGGCCTTCATGAATCCTAGCACAGCACTCTAACCATCACTCTGTATTGGCTTGTTTGCCACCTGAGGCAACGTGCAAAGTCCCCATTTCGCATACAGAAGACAGTGGGGTTGGCAGTAGCATTTTAACTCCCTGACTTAACTTTAAAAGCAAACAAGTTGTTCTCAGTCGCTATGGAGCAATTTTGACTGAGCATGTATTTAGAAGCAGTGCTCCCTCAAGTGCGGAAAGGTGTCTGATTGCCATTGAAGCTGCTTTCCCTCACTTCTGGCCTTTATTTTATAATAAACAAGGAGGCTGACAGACAAGGCAACTGAAACCACTGTAAGTTACTGTAAAATACAATTAAATGTATACCAGAAAGACCAAAGCCACTAACTAAAAACAGTTAAAAGCCAGTTTTCAGAAGCTCACATCATAAAACAATAAAGCGTGCTGCATCCCACACCGATCTGGAGGTCGCCATCAAACGTGGCCTCTCTTCCCTCTTCACCAAAGCCACCTCTGCAGATCTGAAAAAGATTAGAGGGAAAGACAGCCGGCCTATAAATAGCCTCGGCCCCGGGCCAAGTGGGCCTGTCCAAGGTCACCAGCCAGCCAGCCAGCCAGCAAGCGAAGTGTCTTGTAACCCGTTTCCAGCAGGCTGGGTTTTGTGAATGGTCGCTGCAAAATAAACACGGCCTTGCTTTGCCATTTTGCACACCTGGCAGGTGAGTGCTGGCAGACAGACCATTGCCCTGGTGCAGAGATGGCCCTCCCAGTCATTCAAAACCACAGACGGCAGATGGCCGGTTGGAAACCAGCCTCCAACCGGCCATCGCTCTATGGCCGAGAAAAAAGAGAGGCTATTTACGTATGTTAAAAAAAAAGGCTTTGCCCCCTGTGCCAACTCAGCTATTGTTACTTCGTAGGCTGATAAAGGGCATCATTCACAGCCTGACAGTCTTACTCCTTTGCTACCAAACCGCAGTCCCTTTGTGTCCCTTATCTGTCTCCCCACCTGGTCACGGGGCCAGGGAGCCACAGGACCGCCATAACCATCTCTCCCTTAGGTCTGAGGAAGTGGAATAACATAGAATAAATTTAAAATTAAATGATAAGATAAAAGCAGGAGGGTAATCAAACTGTGAAAAAGCAAAAAGTTGATATGTATTAGTAATATGAATTGATTGGATGATGTTATACTTTATGCTCTCCTATCCCCCCAAACCATTTTTCCTTCTCTATCCCCTCTTTCTTTTTGTACCCTTTATCCCTGTTCCTAAATAAATATATAAAAAAGGAAAAAAAAAAAAAGGTCTGAGGAAGTGGACGTGGTCCGCAAAAGCTCACCCCAAAATATAGCCGTTCGAGTTAGCAGGGCCAAGGGGGGAAAGAGGGTGGGGAGCTGCCACTCAGCTGTACCTGTCGTGTTCCTCATCTCTGACTCAAATTAAACTGATTTTTTAAAAAAAGAAACAGGTGCCCATTTTCCCAGAAGCCTGTTGGAAGGATGCTGAGGAACAAATCTCTCTGGGCATCCAAATCCCGCCTCTCCAGGGGTGCCGGATTTGTGTGTGTGTGTGTGTGTGTGTGTGTGACTCAATTGGAAAGGCTCTGGGTCTGGTTGATGTGGCGCCATTAAAACCCTTCGGAATGACGGTAACCCGATGAAAGAGCCATCTCCGTCAAGTTCGGTCCTCAGGAGCCCTGCTGGGCTCTGGCAAATTCAAGCTTTAGGGAATCAATCCCTCTCCTATCCGGTCTTCCTCTTCTCCTGTTTTGTTCAGCTTTGCCCAGCATTCTCGTCTTTTCCAGAGAATCTGGAACCTTTTCCCGTGGTCTACCTTTCCCAAGCCCTTGCAGGGACCAGCCGGGCTCCTCGGTTACCTCCCTCCTTCCAGTTTTTAGGCTCAAGGTGAGGAACGAGCTGGCGGCAGGAAGTCAAGTGGAGGGCGAGGGTCTGATCTCGGCATCCTCATTCTGCAGTTCTCTTTCACGTTCCTCTCGGTCACATGAAGGGCTATGTACACCTGGTGTCTCTTCTATTTCCCCCACCAAATGGCTATGCTCTGGCCGGGAGCATCCTGGTTACAGGGCCTGGTGAAACGAAGCCAAGAGTGAAATTGTGGAGCCAGGCTGCAACGGGGTTCAAGATTTTCTGAATCTGTGACGTCACCTCCCACCCTCTGTCAGGACTCCCTCTTCACTCCAGTTTGGCCCACTACCTTCACAGCAGCAGCCCATGGAGAGACATAGATTTCTCCAGGAACCTCACATTGTTGCAAACGTTCTCTCTTGTGATGCAAAGTGTTTGAGGGTCGCCTGATGGTGAATTGGGGGGGAGGGGAGTCAGAGCCATTAACTTTGCAAAAGACCAGCTCCACCGTTGTGGTTCTGGATTGGTCCAGCTGGCTACACTAGTCGACTCTCCTTACAGGAACAAGCCGGCCGGCCGGGGGCTGTCTTGACGAGACCCTTGTCCTCCCACTTTGGCCACAATGCTGTGAAGGGGCAAGTAGGAACCCAACCCTTTCGTCCAACCCCAACCCTCTCTGCAATGACTGTGTGTATCATCCTAAAAAAATCACCCATTGCCTAGTGGGACCTCGGACAGCCTCTGGATGTTGGATCGCCTCCTGTCTCAGAGCGGTGATGTCAAGTTTGAAAATGGTGGAGAAATGGTACTTTGGTCTCATCAAGGCAGGGGGGTTTGGAATCATCTTAACACAATAGGAAGTACAGCATGAAAGCTGGTCTGAGTGTAATTGGAGTAGGGGTAGGTGTCTCTGTCTGTCTGTCTGTCTGTCTGGCACACAGAGAGTGATGTTGCTGTGCAGCTACTCTCGTCAATCCCAGCCAACAGTGGGGGATGAAGATGGGAGATGTGTAGCCCAGCAACATCTGTAGTTTGAAGTCCAGCAAAATGAGACTCTTGAGTGGGGAGGTTCAAGACAGACACGCGGCCAGAGTAGATGCGTCTTCCTTCCATAATTAACGGATGGAGCCTCACTGTAACAAAAGGGGGTGGCAGCCGATAGATCAGAGGCAGGTTCTTGCAGGAAGGGGAAACTCTCGGGAGGTTACGAGCTAGACTCTGAGCCTTCTGCCACTTGCCACCTGTTGTTGTTGTGGTGGTGGTGTGCCATCAAGTGGGAACTGGCTTATAGCGACCCAAATAGGGCTGTCAAGGTAGGTGAGCGGTTTCAGGAGTGTTTTTTTTAATTTACCAGTTCCACTCTCCCAGTGGGCTGCTTCCACAGCTGAGCAGGCATTCGAACCCAGGTCTCTTGAGTCCTAGTCTGTCATTGACTGTACCACACGGAGCATCCTATTAGCTGGATGGCAAACCACGTCGTCTTTACCAAAGTTGGTGGTGGTGTTCTAGTCTCCTAGTTCTAGAGAGGGCCAGAGTCGTTGCTGCGGTCTCTCCATGCTTGAACGTGGAACACGGGAAGACAGTGCTCTTGAACATGTGCAGAGTTCTGTGCCCGCCTCACTGAAGGAGCACCAAGTAGTTACCCTAGTCCAGTCCCAGGGGGGCGCTTTTTATTTTATGTCACATTCACATAGTATCTCCACAAGATACAACTGCATCGCCAATGACTTGTTATCGTCGTTGGTGTCGTTCTCATCTGAGGCTACCAAATGGAGTCAGAGACCTGCGCAGCTAGAAAGGGACTCCAAGCAGAGTGAATTAGAATCAGCGACTTTAAATAAATAAAGATACTTAGCATTTCAGTGGAATTTTTTAAAAATTTAAATAAGATTTTAAAATTATTTCATGGTGATTTTTTTTTTTAAAAAAAAGCCCTCTGGGACGACCATTTTAATTTTAAAAAGCATCACAGCTCAAAGACGTTACGGTCAATTCTTAAGGGTTATGCCATAGAGATCTTCCCTGGAACTCAGTCTAGAGTGGATTCCGTGAGGGGGGAAAACCTGCCGTTCTTCAGCTGACTTTGTGTCTTCTATGGAGACGAATCTGAGATGACCAGCCCATTTCCCAACAGTGGTGGAAGCTCTTCTGGATGTCCGAAGCCCTATTCATCTCTCCGGGAGGACAGGTCCTCATTTCCTTGAGTGGAGACGCCGATTCTTTTAGAAATGATCACTCTAGCTATCCGATGACCTGCCCAGCAATAGGCCGGTTGGGGCATCGTATGTAGACTTCTAGTCCAAACCAATAACTCCCCCCAATCGGCCGGTCTCTATAGGTCACCTTTCCACACGACCCACTTGGTCTGCCCTCCCGGGCAGGTCCCTTTTGTCTGCATGGCAGAGAGCAACTTGAAATGCTTTGGGGAGCAAAAGGGTGCTCTTCTTACTTGCATGCATCTCCTTTCCAGGAGAAGCCAGCCTTACCCAGAGGCAGGAAAATCTGCTACGCCATTGGGGGTGCCCCATATCAGCTCACGGAAAACGTTGTGGGGTTTTTCTTTCAGACGTTCCTCTTGGATGTTGTGCAGGTAGGAGAGAAACCCAGCACGGATCCTTTCCTTCCCCTGTGTGCTTCTGGGACGTTGGTGGGACTCCTCTCTCCAGATTACCCCCTCCCCACCCACCCCCATGCAATATCCCTTGTGTGGCTGCTTTTTAAAACCTTTCCTGGGCACCAGTCAGATTCCAATCATTTGCCCTGATCCAGATGGAGCCGTTCCATGCGTCGCTGGTCCCTTTCCTCGGGCGAGCCTGGAACATCCTGGCGGACCCTGTCGTGGGGATCCTGGTCTCCAGGAGCCCCAGAAGGAAATGTGGGAAACTGATCCCCTGGTGAGTGACGCGGGAGTGATGGGGCGTCATGGTTAGGGTGCCAAGTCTGGGGCTTTGGGCCTCTAGTCCTCAGTGAGGCCAGACACTCGGAGGGCAAGGCTGATATGGTCCTTTTTCTTCCGCTGGGCCTACCTCACAGGGTTGTTGAGAGGATCAGGTAGGAGAGAAAGGCAGCCGTATACTCTGCCTGGAACTTTTAAAGGAAGGATATCAACGTAAAGAATGCATAAAAACAAAATAAAAATAAAGTGTGAGTACCAACAGTTTAAGAGGAGCTTTTAAGACCTATTGCATGTTCAAATGTTTTATGTATTTTATTATGCTATATATGCTGATGTTTTGCTTATTGTTTATTGTTGCTGAGATCCACCCAGACTGACTTTCAGTCATCCATCCATCCATTCATCCATCCATCCATCGACTAACCCATCCATCCATCCATCCATCCATCCATCCATCCATCCATCCATCCATCCATCCATCCATCCATCCATCCATCCATCCATCCATCCATCCATCGTCTAACTCATCCATCCATCCATCCATCCATCCACCCATCCATCCATCCATCCATTGACTAACTCATCCATCCATCCATCCATCCATCCA